CCTGACTTGCGTCCGCGGTAGGAGGAGACGCACACGGAGCTGATCATAGATTTCGGTGGATGGGAGACACAGGCTACGTGCGCCCGTCCTCCAGGCGAGGAGTCGGCGGGAGAAGGGGGCACAGGCGGGACTGGCAAGGGGAGACGGGGGGGCGCTCAGGCTCGGCTCGGCAGCCTCGGCCAGCCCCGACGCTGGGTGAGGGCCAGCGGGCAGGAGCCGAGCCGGACACGGGCGGCAGCCCAGGGACAGGGACGGGAGGCTGCAACCTCCACCTCCTCCCAAACCTCCTCCCCCCTCCAAATAAAACCGCCCTAAACGAGGAGCCAGCCCAGCCCCGGCGGCAGCAACAAGTGGGGCCCGCGGGGAGGGGGCTCAGAGCCCCGGGGGACGCAGGGCCCGGCGCGGGGGGGGGGGATGCTGGCCCCAAGGAGGGGGAGGGCAGCCCCTGAGCCCCACCAGGCTGGATCGTGTCCGTCCCCCCCCCCAGCCCCGACCCCCCCGCCCGGTACCTGCAGCGCCGCCAGGCCGGGTGGGGGGGTTGGGGGCTGCCGGGCGCCGCCGCCCGCCCCTCCCGCCGCGCTTCCTGCGACCCCTCCCGGGCTGAACCCGGCGATGGGGGCGGGGAGAAGGGGACGCTGCGACCCCCTCCCGGCGCCCCCCCCCCCCGTCCCTCCGGCAGGGCCCGGCCCTCTCCTCCCGAGCGGGGGGGCTGCGGCGCCGGCTGTGCGGAGGGGGGGAGCCGTTCGGGCGGCGCCGGGGGCGGGGGGGGGCCTGTTGCGCGCCCCGCGGCTCCCGGCGGGCTCGGCCGGCGGGGGAGGCAGCGCCGGGGCTCGGCGGGGGAAGCGCCGCCGCCGCCCGGGGCTTTTATAGGGCTGCGAAGCGGGCGGCGGGGTTAGCGGGAGCCGGCGCCGCCCCGCCGGGGGGGCCGCGGACCCCCCCCACCATCATCATCATCAACATCATCACCCCGGCGCGCGCACCCCCATCCCCGCATCCTGCATGCCCCCGAGCACCCATCCCTTCCAGCGGCACCCCCGCGCAAGCCCCGCTCACCCTCCGGGCGCCCCGGTGCCAGGGGAGCTCGCCGGGCTGCGAGCGAGCGAGCAGAGCGCGCCCCGGCCGCCCCAGCTCCGCTTCGCGCCGGAGGCGACTGCAGCCCGGAGCTGCCTGCGGATCTGAGCCAGCTCTTGGCAGCGGCTCGGGCAGCTCCCAGCCCTCCCTGGCTCGCGATCCCTCCGGCACTCGCAGGTCAGGAGGCACCGGCCCCGGCGGGGGGCACAGCCGCGGTGCGGATCCACCCCCCCCCCCCAATTTCACTTTGCCCCCCAGCTCTGCCCTGCTCGGGCGGCTGCTCCTTCCCCAGGGTACCCCCAACCTTGGGGACCTTCTCCCACATACATCATGACCCCCCCCCCAAACCTCGCTGTCCTCGGGGGGCCGTTAAATGTGCCAAGGCTGCCGCAGCTCAGACCTGTCCCTTGGGGTGGGGAGGAGGCGAGGAGCCCRGTGCCCAGAGGGACGGGGCTGTCGCCAAGGCGAAGCCCCAAGGGACCCCGTCCTGCCGGCGCTGTTTACTCCTGCTCTGGCCTTGGGAGGGGGGGAAGGAGGGAGAAGAGGAGGTGCCAGTGGGCATTTTGGGGTCCCAGGAGGGACTCAAGCCCCCTGCAGAGCAGCTTTTTGGGGTGGAGTTGAGCTAGACCTCAGTTGTATCAGGAGGTCCTTGGTCCAGAGCGAGGGATTAGGATGCCTGACCCCCACCTGCCCCACTCATCAGCCCCCTCTGCCTTCACTGGGGGTCCCTGTCCCGCTGAACCCAAATTTGYCCCCTGCCTGAAACATTCCCCCTATAGCCAGCAGCTTTGGGGACGGCCAGAGCAGGAGCCCCAGGGAAAGTCAAGCTGGAAAAATCAAGCCTTGCATCAGCGCCTCAGCTCCTCATCAACGGTAATGCGCGTTTGGCCGGGATGAAGGAATGCTGCGACCTGATGCTCGTATTTTATAGGGCGCTTTCCATCCCGAGAGAGCCTTGGTGCAGCGGGGAGCGGGGAGGGGGCGGCCGCCCAGATGACTGGGTTGCATCCAGGCAAGGAAGGGATCTTTTTTGCCACCATCACCCGCCCGAAGCTGTCTGTTCTCTAAGTATGCCTTCAGATTTTTAATGTCCGTGCAAGGAAAAAAAAAATTTAAAAAAAAAAAAAAAAAAAAAAAAAAAGAGAGAGAGAGAGAGAGAGAGAAAATAGAAAGCTTGATGAATAAGGGCCTTTGTGGAGTGAGAGGGAGTCATTTCTGCAGAGACCTCCCTCATCTCTGCTGCAAAGATGAAGGAGGCAGCTCAGGCACCATCCAGGTGAGGGATAAAGCAAGGAGCAGGGCCTGGAGACATCATGGAGGAGCAGCTCCAGACAGGAAATCAACAGCTCTTGGGTGGAGCACAAGGACATGGACCCCTCGGCTCGCCTGGTGCCTCTGCCCCCCAGCCAGGGCCGGAGCACTGGGCGCATCCCCAGCCTGGTGCGGCCAGGCCTGGGCGGGAGCAGYGGAGCCCCAGGCCTGACCTCAAGGAGATCACAGGGAGGGACCAGGATGGGGGAATGCAGGGGAAGGCAGCCAGCGCCACATGAGCAGTTTGGGGCAAAACAGTCCTGGAGATGGCCAAGCCAACCAGCCACTCCACCAGGTCCTGCTAACACCATCCTTTGCAGAATGGAGCTCAAGGACCTGCGGCTCTCCATCCTCGTGTCCTGCTCTGTTCTCTGCAGGACAGGCCTGTCCCCAGCTGCAGGTGGTGGCATCCAGGGCACTGTGGTGACACCGCAGCGCTCCCCCCATGGTTTGTCCCCAGCACTGAGCCCAGAGCCACCATTGATGCCTCGGACAACGTTCCTAAAGCCAGGGCGAGTTTGGGGGCTGAAGTTATTCAGGGCCCCCCAGGACTTGGGCCAAACAACACGGGACACAAGGGGGTCGTGGCCCCCTCTCCTCGGTGCGTGGAGGGGACGTCGCCAGTGTCCCCAGCAGAGCCGCGTGTCCCGGGCGGGCGCGGTGGCAGAGCCGCTGCGGGGACACGGTGCCGCCTTGCGGGACACGGTACCGCCTTGCGGGTCACAGTGCCGCCTTGCGGGTCACGGTACCGCCTTGCGGGTCACGGTGCCGCCTTGCGGGTCACGGTACCGCCTTGCGGGACACGGTACCGCCTTGCGGGACACGGTGCCGCCTTGCGGGACACGGTGCCGCCTTGCGGGTCATGGTGCCGCCTTGCGGGTCACGGTGCCGCCTTGCGGGTCATGGTGCCGCCTTGCGGGACACGGTACCGCCTTGCGGGACACAGTGCCACCTTGCGGGACACAGTGCCGCCTTGCGGGACTCCGCCGCCTCGCTGTCACCGTGCTGCTGCGGAGGTGCGGAGGCAGCTAACGGGTCGGGCAATGCCACCCGGCCACTACCTCGTCCCGAGCACCGCGGGGCTGCCACCGCCACGCCGTCCCTGCACACAGGGATGGGGCCCTGGGATGGAGCCCGGGAGCCGTGCTGGAGTCCTTTAGTGCGGGACACCACATGTCTACAGCCGAAGGTGAGGAGCAGACGGCCCACGGTTATTTGGGGAGGAGAAGGACATTTCCTTCCCAGCTGGGAAGGAGATGCCCAGCCCAGCCCAGGGGGCTATGGCCACAGAGCCACTTTCAGGCATCGGGCCCCAGAGCTGAAACCCACCCTGGTCTCTCCCTCCTGGTCTGGGGACCACCATGGGCTTTTGCATGGAACAAGCCCTGGCAATAGCTGCTATCCCAAAGATGCTCCTAAGCCTGGTGCCATTGGGTTTTTTTTTTACCCTGGGATTTTCTCCCCACCTGGGAGAGGAGGAGGGCACGATGCAGAGCAGGGTGGTCAAGGACAAGCAGTATCCCTACCCTTCCCAACCACTATCCCACGGCCGGGACACATCTCCACTCCCAGGATCCAGGCCTCCTCCCAAGGCCAGAGGAGCCCAGATCTCATGGCCAGGCTGCTTCTATCGCTCCCCTTCAGCAGCACAAGGTCCTTGGGAGATGCTGTACGGATTCAGGGCCACCTTCCCCACAGCAGCACCTCAGGAGCCTCCAGAAGCCATGCGGGAGCTCCAAGCCTTTCATGCTCGGGACTGGACCGAGAGACGCTGAAGACCCATTTAGCTCCTCTGGCACTTAGTGGAGTGTCTTTTCTGGGAAAAATACGGGGGAAGGATAGAGGGACAAGGAAGGGATTAGTGGTAATAGAAAGACGATGAGGGGAATGGACAGACAGATAGACGTGCAGGGATAGGAGGTGGCCCTGGCCTCAGATCTAGCCCTGCTGCTCCGGGATGCTCTGACTTTGGCTTTCTGCACCCCCCAGCCTCAGCGAGCCCCCCCAAGCGAGGAAACAGAGGCAGTTTGGTAAGAAGAGACTTTTAATCGGACACTGTTACAGCTCTAAGGGGGGGTCCTCCCGAGCAGGAGGCCCCTGGGCACGGCCCGCTCGGCAAATACACCAGCTACGAGGGGACACGGGACGCGCGACTACGAGCTCTGTGCTTGTGCCTGTACAGGAGGGACCAAGGGACATGGGGACGTGCCGTAAATCCGGCCCCGCCACAGCTCCTCAGCGCTGGCCACTGCTGACCTCTCCTCGTCCAGCCCCGGTGGATCCAGGGATGCCAGCGGCTCCCGGCAGGCAGCGGGATGCAGGCCGGGAAGCGGAGCGGGCAGGAATAGCAGCAGCAATTCCCCCTTCCTCCCGTARCGTCCCGGAGGAAAACCAAAAAGTGCCTGTGCTCAGAACTAGCAGCCGTTCCCTGCGCCTCCGTGGGGAGAAATAAAATAGGGGATAAAGGGGGCGAGCCGCAGGGAGGGCGCAAAGGTGCATCCGCATGGAGCCGACCCAGCGGGTGGGAGAAACGCCCCCAGCGCCAGCTCCAAAAGTGACCAAATTGGGTGAAAAGTGAATCCCAACCCCACGCAGACGTCCCCAACTCACACACACACGCACACACGGCTTACAGATGAACACGCTCACACGTTGACAACACACTACCCGCTAAAAACTTACCCCCCTGCAGCCCCTGTGCTTAACACTGAGCGAATGCCACGGAGAAATACAGGATTTCCATGATTAAGAGGGGAAAAACTGAGGTGCCCTCACCCCTTCTCTCTGCTGGGTGCCAGGACCCTCGGGAGCCGGCGAGGGGAACACAGTCACCCCCTGTACCCAAGAAACGGGAAGGAAAAGTCATGGTCTGAGGGGTGCAGATTGAGCTGTACAGCACGGCAACAACCGGAAAGCCACGGTGCTGGGGGCTGTGCCATTTAACATCATTTACAGCAACATTTACAGGATAAATATACATCAGAAATAGGGAATCTCTAGGATATCGTCCCATCTCCTCTCTTTGTGTATATATATATTTCTTATTATATAATATAGCTTTTTGTTGCCTTCTTACCAACTTGGCCCTGCGAGAAGAGGGAAGGAAAACACGCGCCCCCCTGGCTGGTTTGGGAATTGTCCCCAATTGTCCCCGGAGAGCCACGTCCTTTCCCCCAGGCTTCCAGGAGACTCGCACCTCCGGAGCGGGCAGGACAGCGGGATCTGGCTACCGGAGGTGTCCTCCTCTCTCAACTCCATGGGAGCCATGGTGGGAACGTGGTGCCCGGGCCTGAGGTGCTGGTCTGACTTAGGGACGTGGGCACACGGGTTTGGTTCATCCTCTGCTTCACTGGCCAGGAGAAGAAGAGGAGGCAGCAGGATGGAGAAACAGGAGGAAAGAGGCAGAGGAAAGCGCTTGTGCTTCTCCCATTTGAGATGAACCAGGGGGATAATCATATCCCTCTGTAGGGATGGGGCAAGGAGAGAAGAAGTATAAGGGTATAAATAAAGGACCACAAAAAAACTCTTTGTGAAGGACCTCCTGCCTCTGGGATGCCAAGAGAAGTCAAGGATGTGGCGAGCAGACCAGGTCCATTCTTGGCTGGGAGGCTTCTTCGCCTCCCAACCAAAAGGAGCATCAAAGTGGGAGAAAATCCAGGGGTAGGAGGAGGGGAGAAAAGATTGTGGCCAAGCACCTGTGAACGTGGCCTTCAAGCTGGGTAAAATATCATCATGAGTGCTCCAAGGACCGAGGTAAGGAGCACCCTCGGCGTTGGAGACCTTAGTGATGTGCCTAGAAGGAGAGAGGGCAACTCTTCCTCCAGATAATGCGAATGGGCACGACGGAGCCCAGCTACTCACCACCAGCTCCTCACCAGCCAGGAACAAGCACTAGCGAGGACATTAGGAGCTGGCACCGGCCCCAGAGTCACTCAGAAGATACGTCCTACCACTGCTSCAGACCACTGGAGAATCTCTAACAGAGGTGCAACAGGAGCCAACRCAGCCCTGGCTTGAAGCTACGAGAGATGAAGATGACTGTCTAGGGATGACTGCTGCCCAGCGCACCTCGACTGGTGGCTGCAAAGGAGGTAAATAAGTCAGGGGATGGTTCCCTGAGAGCTAAACTAGGACTGTGACGGGACTGTATGTCCCACAGCCTCTCTACTTGTCCACCTGGGACATCTAAGAGCAGCAAGAGGAGACAATTCACCATGCCAGGGGTTTGGATTCAACTGGACATCCCATGTGTCAGGAATAAMTCCAGGAGGTTGCTCCTGATCCATGCCAAAGTAGTCCTGTCTAGATCCTGCAAACACATCCAGAAAAATCACAGTCACTTCTGAGGTCCCTCTGCCACCAGCCAAGGAGGGTGCCAGCCATGTCTTCACACAGAGGGGCCATCCCCAAGTCTTCAAACAACTCTCGGATGCTGTCTTTATGCTGGTGGTAACACAGCAGACACCCAGGAGCCACCACCAGCAACCTCGCCCATGGCTACAACTCAACCAACCCAGCACCGCTCCCTGCCAACCCTGGCCAAAATGTGGGGTTATTAGGGTGTGTCCACAGCTATAAAAAAAGAAAAAACCTACAGGAAATACAACAGCAACAACAACAACGGTGACAACAAGAGCACCCTTTTGTGCTATGAACATCAATGGTTACTTGTGCTCGTCGGAGTAAGGCCATGACTTCTCCCAGCTAAAGGGCAACGGAGAGGGAAGAGCTCTGGGTTACAGGAGGAAGCACGGGTGGCTTTCCCCCTTGCTCTGGGTCCTTCTTCCAAACATCAGCTACTCAGAAAGCGAGATTCTTTGCTGCAGCTCTAAGCTGCACGAGAACAACCCTCGGGAAGATATCGCAGCATCTCCTGCTCCTCTTCCTCCTCTCCCCGCAGAGGAGCCCCGAGGGGTCCTGCCCTTCAGCCAGAGGATGTGGGAGGAGAGTCCTGCCCCTCCTGCAATCCCTTCTTCCCCGCGTCGTCTGGGAAATGGCCGCTTTGGATGACGGTTCTAAGAGGGGGTTCTTCTTTGTCATTTTCTTTATTAATTAATTTTCCTGTTGTCTGGCCAGCTAGGATCCACTCCCCAGTAAGCTTCTCTCCCAGTGGGGGTGGCGGGCAGGCAGTCGTCACAGTTCGGATTCGGGGGTGCTGGCCAGTAAATACCCGCTCCCATAGCGTCCGTTGGGGGCATTGCTCATTTCCATGGGGGAGTTGCTGCCGGGCCCCAGGTAGGAACGGTGTGTGGGCATGGGGGATGGAGTCTCACTGGGCACTTTGCTCAGGATGAAGCGGGTCTCGTCATTGTCTTCCAAGTTTGAGATGTCCTTCATCATCCGGCCCTTCTTGTAGGTGACGGAGAGGGCGTTGGAGCCATCTGACACGAGGTGGAACTGGCGGAGGATGAAGACCAGGGGAAGAGGTAGGGATGCCAGGATGATCAGAGAGATGAGAATAGCCATGGCCCAGGTTGGGTAGAAAAGGAACTTCTCTGCAGCCTGGAAGAGAGGGATATTAGTGTCATTAGAGGGACATTAGTGGTGTTAGTTTCTCCTCTATCATCCTCTCTTCTACCCAAGTGGGCAGCAGAACTTCAGGTCCCTCTTACATCTCAGAGCCACTGAAAGGGACCACTAGAGCCAAGGCCAGGGCAACGTACACCAAGGACAAGGTCTCTTGAGCACTACACAACCCCTCCCGCCTCCTTCCAGCCTTCATCTTCACGTGAAGCTACCAGAAGGCAAACTCAGAACAGGGAAGGTGCATGGTCCTGCTCTCAGCTGTAGTTAAACTGTGGAGCTCCTCGCTGCAGGACGCAGTCTCCTGCATAGCTCTCACTGCTTTGCAGAAGCRCAGGTGGGATTTGGTGTCCCAACAGCACATTTGCTTCTGCAAATATTTCAGTCAGAAGAGGAGGAAGGAAGGGAGGTGAATTGTGGTGTAGTTTCTCTATCGCCTACACTTAGCAAGCTCGGGCTGTCCCTGAACCTCCTACTTCATGCTAAGGGTGTGCTTGATATGGAGAAGAAATAGGTGAATCAGATCTTAAAAGATGATTGGGAAGAAACATGGAGGGTCAGTTGCTGGTCTTCTGGAGAAGATGGAGAGGCCGCTGGAGAAGGTGAGGGCTCTCCACCAGAACACACTTCCATGCTGGAGCCCGGCTGTGAGAACTTCCAGCCCAACTCCTCACCTCATTCTTGCTCCATCAGATGTTTCACTGACCACATGCAAAATAAATCCCTAGTTCAAACCTTGACCCATGGTCAGATTTGGCTCAAGACCTGTGGGCAGTGCAGGCAAATCTGATCCTTGCCCACAGAAGACAAGCAGCCAGGATATCTCGCGGGATGAGGAGAAGCAAGCAGAGCTGGGGCACAGCAGGAAGTTCTTCAGCTCTCAGTGACCTGCTGCTGAGCCTGGAGCTAGAGGTGGATCTTGGGAAGAGAGCCGTGCTCACCTCTTCTCTGATCCACGCGCTGTACCCGGGCGGACTGACCCCCAGCTGGATGATGCTGGCTGTCATGAGCACTGCCATGCAGATGGGTGACACATACTTCCAGGTGTAGTAGTAGAACTGGTAGGGACGGAAACCCAGCATTTCCGTCAGCTCCTGCATGAATCTGCAAATGAAAGGAGATAGAGCCATGATGTTCCCCACTCTCAAATAGGAAGCCTCCTCCCAGCAGCCTCAATTGAGAAATCTGCCCCAGGTAGGACCTGAAGAAGGGACCAGTGAGTCCAAGTGAGCACGTCAGTGTCCCTAGTGCCTGTAGGACTGGCTGAGAACCTCCCCAGGAAAAGGCCACCTGAACACCTTGCTCTGGCCAGTGAGAATGGGCACAAGGTCCCCCTTCCAGAACCACTCCAAAAACCTCAAGCAAAAGGGTAACGGCCAAGGACACAGCATCATAACCAACACGAGATGCCCTCGAGGAAGATTTGCTCCTACGGCTGGATAGAAGATCAAGGTGAACCAAGTTACTATGGATTAACCAGCTACTGCCTGTATAAAGTAGCTGCATGCGGGATATTCGCTCCCTCCAAGCTGGCCCCTGCGGAGAACACACTAAAGGAAAGAGCTGAAAGGACAGGTTTTAGTCAGGACAGAACAGAGATTCTTGTTGGGCTAATATCTTACTTCTTGGTGCCATAAATCCACGCTACAGCAATGTTCTCCAGGATCACCACAACCGTGAGTGGCAGGGTGGCCGAGTAATCRTCGAACATGGTGACAAAGTAATTCCCAGAGCGCTGCACAAAGATCAGGCCCACCAAGAAGGCGAAGATACAGCAGCCAACTGCAGAGAGCAAAGGGATATGGTCAGCAGTGGGTCCCAAGGGGGACCAAGGACTCCATCACACAGTCCATTAGCTGCTTGCCCATGCTGCCAGGGCCAAGTAGACATCCATTATGTTCACATACTGTTCTGGAGAGACTCCCTAGGGCTATGGGGACCCTCCAATCCCTCCCCAGGATGAGGCAGGAAAAGATCTCACCTGTGAACACTTCTTTTCGCACCTTGAAGGTGTCTATGATGGGGGTGGTGATGCCTGACATGGTGCCAATCATGCTCCCCAGCCCCAGGTTTATCAGCATCAGGAAGAACATGACGGACCAGAACGGCGAAGCTGGGAAATGAGTCATGGCTTCTGTGAAGGCGATGAAGGCCAATCCAGTTCCTTGCACCGACTGTCCGGGGAGAGAGAGAGGACCAAAAGGAGGGGAGAACCACATCAGGGACAGAGCTTGCTACAGCACATTCTGTAATCTCACACCTCAGGTTTCTCCCATCATCCTCAATCACTCATTAGGAGAAGAAAAACACAACCTGGCACCCCAGCCTGGTCAAAGATGTGACCTCAGATTTCTGTTAGGCTTGATACGGGCAAAACTCTTTCCCTGCCCCAGCAAGGACCACTGCCCACCAAGGAAGGTCATGAGGGCAGGAAACCTCCATCCCTGGAAGATCTCTAAAAGTTTTTTTTTCTCCCCAGGTCCATGTGCCAGAAACAACTCGAGCAAAACAGATTCAACCAGGAAGGGACAATGGGTGAGGTGACCTCCTTATCCTACCAGGAAAGCCCCCGGGTACCTTATTGAGCTCATCCTCCAACAGGCAGGGGTCCAGGCCCAGCTCTTTGAAGTGCCCCTCCTTCACAGTCATGATCACCCTGTACATCTCATTGTAATCCTTGGCCGTGAGGTGGGAGAAGTTCACATGGGGTGGGATGAGGTCATGGCTCAGCACGTTGGTGTTCAGGTACCCCAAGATCTTCTCAGCRTTCCTAAGGGAGAGCAGAGCCCGGTCACCCCAAAAAGTCCCCTTCTTCACCAGAGTAGAGGACATGGCTGGACCAAGCAAGTCCTTTGGACCAAGCAGGCGGGCCCTTGGTGCACAAATACACCTTAGTCCAGCTGTTCTGCGGTACAGAACAGTATCACTTAGCCTTGGGACATTCCTCCATCACCTCCAGCACATGGACAAGAGCCATGTGCAGCCAGCACCACGAGACTCCCCCACCCCAGACAGACATAAACTGCACCTACTCCACCACGCATTTCTCATTCATGATGTTGGCCTTGAAGCCCAGCACGGCAAAAACAACCAGAGTGGCCAGAACAGACGTGAAGAAGTTGATGAAGGACACCAGCGTTGCGTCAAAGTGGCAGTTGTTATCTTGCTTGTTGTAACTGGAAAAGGCGATGACACCTCCAAAACCAAGGCCCAAGGCGAAGAACACCTGCGTGGCGGCCTCCCGCCACACCTGGGGGTCGAGCATTTTGTCCATCTTGGAGAGAGGAGAGAAGAGGAAGATTAGGCAGCTTGGGAGCTCCTGGAATGCTTSACATGGAATGTTTCAGCTCACGGGTTTGTCAAACGCCCTAAGTCACCCTAAATCCCTAAAATCACATCCCCCAAATCACATCCCAAAAATCACATCCCCTCCCGTGTGCGAGAGCCGCAGGCTGGAGACCTCTGAGCATCATTCATCAAGAGATCATAGTTAATATCCCCTAACAGCTTTGCCAGCGGAGCTGATACATCTACARCTCCGCTTATTTCATTAATCAGCTGGTTAATTAGTGGATGCACCACACCAGCAGTGGTCTCTCTGCCAGCTAGCGTCTTCCTATGGAGCTGGAGTTGATTCTCTGGTTTTTAGCCCTTGCAAGCGGTAGCAGGTCTGTTTTGCATCGGAGATCAAGGCAGCTGCACCTTCTCCCTGTGGAGCAGCCAGCACAACCAGCCAGGAGGGGAACCTCCTTGGAGCCAGCTGGTCCTGACGGGATCCCACCGGGAGAAGCCCTTACCTTGGGTGTGAACATGTGCATGATCCCATCCACCGCCCCTCGCAGCAGAAGGCCCCGAACCAGGAAGCAAACAAGCACCACGTAGGGGAAGAGCGAGCTGAAGTACATGACCTAGGGCAGAAAGGACGTTACGTGGAGTCCAGCTCAYCTGTCTCCTCTGAGCTCAGCTCCTCACCCTCAACCCAAGTACCACCTGGCAGTGGGGACAAGGGGGATGTGGCCCAAAGCTGGTAACCTTCACCATTCAGAGGTGATTTGGCTCTTCCAACGTGGTTGCTCCCAGGGCCATCACTGTGGGTGGCAGATGGGCAGGAGAACATGGACAGGGCAGGCAGCTTCTGCCTTGACTACATGGACAARGCCCAATGCTGGGCATGGATCCAGATGGGTGGCCACCAATACCCACCTTTCCCGAGGACTGGATGCCTTTGATCATAGCCAAACCAACAAGGCTCCAGGCCACCAGCAGGCACAGGGTCATCTTCCAGTTGAGGCCACCACTCTCCGAGATGGAGTTAGAGATATCCAAGGTCTCCCGGTACCAGAAATAGGTGGTGGCCGAGCTCCTCTCGCATTCGGTCTCCACAACTGCAACAAATCAGAAGCGTAAGAGCACAAGGAGTCTTGGGGTCAAAGCCCCGCTGCAGGACCACAGTTCAATTTTAGCAGGAAAGGCAAGAGTTAAGACAGAAAGCCACCACCAACCAATCAAATCAGATGTTAAATATGGATAGAGACATTTGCATTCCCCATAAAACCTCCCGGAGTGTCCCAAGGAGATGCTCAGACACTGCTGAGCACACCGTTAACTACACGAGGGCCTCAGTTGGGCACTAAGGACGCAGCCAAGCAAGCCTGGCACGGTCCTGCCCGCCTCTCGCTGCCTCCCTCCCGTGGTCCTGCTTGGATCCCAGCATCCTGGCCATCCAAGGTCTGAACCCCAGAACAAGCATAGTCAGGGAGGCAGCGGTGCCCAGAAATGCTCTTCTCCAGGGGCTGGTGTCTAAGGTTGATCAGAAGTCATATTTTCTATCACCTGGCTGGCACAGAGCCCCTTTACGATTCCACCCAATGGTCTCAATACTCTTGATAGGAGCTGCGTACATCTCTTTGAACCACCCCAGCCATCAGCGTCCCCACAAGTGTCACCAAACTGGGTGGGAGTCCCCCCTGCTCTGGAGCCGCTGTCCCCAGGTCCGCCCCTCACCGGCCAGCGTGCCGTTCTTCACGATGGGGCACTCGCTCCAGGGAAGCGGGTACTGGAAGGACTTAAAGAAGTAGAAGATGCTCCAGCCAATGATGACGTTGTAGTAGAGTCCCACGAAAAAACACACCTGGGGGGCAGGAAGGTGGAGGTATTTAGTCACGGAGCAGCGGCGTGGTCCCCAAAATACCTCCCATTGGACAGGGACCATGGCGGGACCCACGGTCCAAACCAGCCCCATGGAGACCACCAGGGATGGGCTCACCAGACAACTGGCGTATCCGATGCCCCCCAGGCGAGGACAGATGTAATTCCAGACACCAATGCTGCCCCGGCGGATTCGCTGCCCCACRGCCAACTCCAGGAAGAAGAGGGGCAGCCCGATGATGATGAGCAGCACCAGGTAGGGAACCAGGTAGGCACCTGCCCGGGGAGAGAGGACACGTCACGGAACCACATCCAGCTCTGCATTCACAAGCACGGATGGATGGATGGATGCATGGATGGATGSATGGATGGATGGATGGATGGAYAGGGAGGACAGAASCAGCYGGGCTGGTTGATCAGCTCCTGTTCATTCACGCCACGAGAGGTGGACTCCCAAATGCAGAAGCACGTGGAGATACCCATGGAGCAGTGGGCATGCAAGGAGACACTTCCCTACATGCACACAGATACATGGATCCAGCTGTCTCGGATGCAAGGACAGACACAAGCCCGGCCAGGGACACTGGTACCCACATGCACACGTGTGTCCAAACCACCACCAAGCCATTGGCGAAGGGTAACAGGTCCCCATGGACATGTCAGAGCAAGGAGTCCTGGGAGGGCCAGAACGGGAATCTGGGAAATCCACTGGAAGTGCGAATCTGGGAAAACCCACTGGAAGTGGGAAAATCACTGGAAATGGAAAGCTGCTTCTCTTCTGCTTAATTGAGGAGGCCAGGGAGAAATTAGCAGTTCTGGAAGCGTGAGCGGGTGCCCATGAAGGATGCAGTGACTCAGGCTGCAGCTGACGAGTTACTGGGAGCGGCCACGGGATGTGGAGCACGCGGCTCCTTTCCAGCCACCCGTGAGGCCACGGCCGCTCCCGAGGGACACGCCGGAGCCCCTTGGTTGTGGGATGGGAAGATGTTCCGCAACAGCAAGGAGCTCCTTGGCCAGGTACCCTGTCATTAAGGGCGTTGAGGGCATCTTGGCCCCGCTGCTCACCAAAGCACGCGCCCTGAAGGGAGAGGATCCCAGAGGATCCCAAGCGTGCAAAGACAGGGCCATCAGTGTCCCAACAAGTAACAGCAAAGGGCAGCACCTTAGGGAAGAGCATGGAAGCCACGCGGTGAGGTGACTCCGTTTAACCAGGACCCACGTCCATTCTAGCGCCACCAAACCCCGCCTAACCCCCTGGGTCTGGATCTGAATCGCAGCTACGAACGGCAGGACGGGGCTGATCCCACCACGGCCGGGGCCGTGTCCGTGCCCGGCCCCATCCCTCACCTCCTCCGTTCTTCTGGCACAGGTAGGGGAAGCGCCACACGTTGCCCAGCCCCACGGAGTAGCCGATCTGCGCCAGGATGTACTGCAGCTTGCTGTTCCACGCCGGCCGGTTTTCCGCCTCCGCCTCGTCCTCCGCGTCCTTCTGCTTGTCCCAGCTCTCGGCTGTCACGTTGAGGACGCTGCGCTTGTAGTCCACGGGCTCCTCGTGGGCCAGCAGGTCGGCCACCGACTCGGTGACATGCTCGCTGCTGTGCTCCCGCTGCGTCACCTTGCTGTTCTTGGGCATGGGGACGGCTCCGCGCCACCCCTGGGGATGGCAAGGGTGAAGGAGAGTGTCCCAGARAACGGCACTGGCAGGAGCTTCGGCCTCACCTCCTCCTCATCGGTGGGACCTGCCCTGGGAAGGAGCCGGGAGAGTCATTTTTACTCCCAAGTCCTCGACCTCAAAGCGCTCTGGAGCCGGGAGCTGGCAGAGATGGGGCAAAAATGGCTCTGGCATCCCCGTGCCCTTGGGGACCCCCTGGGTTTGGGGGAGACGCTAAGGGGATACAACCCACGGGCACCCACTGGAAGGACCTTCTCCCAGCCCTAGGGAAGCTCAAAAGCCACCATTCTCAAACATTCTCAAAGTGCCACATTTCCCTCTTTTCTCCCCATTTGGGCGAGAGCATCTTGCCCCGGGGACGGGGTAGCAGAGGCCGCCGGGCAGCACCAAGTGGCACTCCGGGCTTTCCCAGGGCAGTCCCCAGGGCGACTTGAGCCAGCCGAACCCGCAGCAAAGCCCCAACCTCTGCAGGGCCCGTTTGCTCAGGCTGAGAGGCGCGGAGCACCCGCAGGCAGCGCCTCGAGGCCGCGGCTCCGCGTGGGAGCAGAGCGAAGCCGGCAGGAAGGAAATCTCACATTTCCTCATCCTCACCTCGCTGCGTTTTCTTTTTTTTATATATATATATATAATATATATATATATATATTATTTTTTTTTTCCCACCCCTGAAGAAAGTCCCCCGCTCGCCAGGCCCGGTTCCTGTTCCTATTAGAACAGCTATTTTAGGCTGTAGTCTGCATCCGTTGCCAGGCAACCGGGCCAGCTCCACGGACTCTGCTGGATCAGGCTCCTCCAGAGAAGCCATCGGAATCATCCTTCCCGGTTCCACCCAGTAGCTTTTGGTTCCCACCAGTGGCCCAAATGCAACGACAGCTCCCGGCTCCATCCAGAGCATCCTCAGGGCCAGAGGTTTGGGAAGGTCCCGATCCAGCAGCTGGAAAACCGCCAGAGTTTCCATCAGATTCACATCAGGCCCTGTGGATGAGGAGCGCAACCACCGGGGCTCCTTGCAAGGGTGACTCGGGCCTCCAGCAGGACAAGCCTTCCTCCCTGCGGCAGGGTCCTCCTCGCAGGACAAGGTTCCACAGAGAAGCAGAGTGGCGAAAAAGCCACGGAAAGCATTGCCAGCCTCTTCTGGGACTGAAAGCCCATTCGATCAAAAATCCCTCAGCCAAAATAATAACAATCCCAGGAGAAAGCCTGGTCTGATCAGCTTTTCCGAGCAGCAAAATGTCCCCAGCAGATGGGAATTCACTGTGTTTATGTAGCCCCATGACCTTCATTTTCTTAAATGTGCGTTTTTCTCTCTTTATAGCCAAAAGATTGGGGCCATTTTGGACCCCGCGTTATCTCCTTCATCTCCCACTCCCTGGGCGCCGCCTTCGGAGGATTCCCACTCCAAGAGTACCCAGGACTGCCTTGGTCAYGGGTGGCATCAAGGGACCGCCAAGCAAGGGGACGCGGGGCTCACAGGCTGAGCTCCGGGCTCCCATCTGCACCAAGGGACAAGTCCCCGGTGTCCCCTCTGCRCATGGGGAACAGGAGGGGGCCTGGGGCCGTTTCCCCTGCCCTGGTCCACCCCTGCTTCCCAGGGARGGCAGCTCGGGAGCACTAAAGGCGGCTGGAAATGAGTCAGGGCTGGGAGGGGATGCGGCTCTGCGGCCGCCGGGATGCGGCGCAGCCCCCGGGAGCGGAGGACGAGGCAGCAGGAGCCTCTCCTGGCCCAGCTCCTACCGGCAATCGCAGCCTCTRGCCCCTGGGTTGGGTCCAGCAGGGAGAAACTCATCCCCGGGCTGCGGGAGGCCAGGGAGCCAGTGCACGTGTCCATAGGGAAACCCGAAACGCAGCAGGAAAGGGCCGGATCCAAGGTCACACAGATGCCACATGGGACCATTCCCGCTCTGATCCCGCTCCCGGCCTTCCTGCAGCCTCCTCTGCACAGCCTCCGCTTGCCGGAGGAGATGCCAGCCCGAGCCGCCTCCATTTTAAAAGCCACTCGGGACCCGGCGCTCCAGATCCCATCTTCCTCCTCGCCGCTCCGTCCTCTCGGGCTCTGCAGGGAAGGTTTTTGCCATCTGGGTTCATCAGGGCCGTTCCCTTTCCTTCCAAATGATCCCTGCTAATTAGCGCCAGGCTCTTGCCACCCCGCAGAGCCGGCGCACGCAGGGGACTCGGGCAAGCCAGCCGGGATGCTGGCGCGCATCCCGGCATGCCGGTGCGCTCCGTATCCCACCCCAGSATGGAGAGGGACATGGACATACCGGAGCAAGCGTGTAGGAGAGTGCAGCGGTGCTGATGGACAACGGATTTAAAGGAGCCTCCACAGAGGTCCAGGAGCAGCGCGGTCCTGTGCGACAGGCCACTCTGGGTGCTCAGAGCGGCACCCTTCCCACGCCAACCTCTAGGCCTGCTCTAGCACCGCCACGCAGGAGTGAGCTCCAGATTCACTCTAACGACACCACGTTGTAATATTAAAACAGCCGCTGTTTTCCTCAATGGATCCCGGAGGCACCTCCAGGCAGGCGGAAAGGGCAATTTTGCAGACAGGTAGTGAGCGAGCCAGACGTAGCAGCTGGGCGAGCCCACTGATTCATCCGATTTGGCCCCCTTTTATGTCTCATTTAATATCGCAAAAACATGCATCAGCTGCAGCAATGTGACACCAGAGCAAACCCAACCATCATATGATCGCTCCGGGGCTCTGAGCTATTCACAAAACGACCGAATCCTGCTCAGCTCCAAGTGACCCCTCTTAACTCACCCACACCGCTCCAGGGCTGACGGCTGAACTCAAATTGGGGACAGGTTTTGGGCCAGGAGACAGTGAGTGGGCAGCATCCAAATTCTCCTGCACACTCTGCCTCCCCCCGCAGAGCTTCTCCGTTTGTAAACAAACAAATCCGCTCACAACCCAGGCAAAATCGGAGCATCTTCTCCAGAGGCAGCGGTTCCGGGGGGGCCTGCGGGGGTGCAGCTGATCTGGGGCTGACGGGGTCCTCGTGACGCCCATCTGACCTGGCCCTGGGGTGACTCTAGATTCGCGGCACCACGCGAGACCAAGGTGGCACCAGAGTTGCTCCGGATTTACACCAAGGGCTCTCCTGCCTATTGATTCCAGTGTCCCCAGGTTCTCCTGGAGGACAAACAGATCAGACCCAAATCTCCATGACAGCCAGGTGAATTGCAGACAAATCACCACCCTGGCCTATTCAGAGCATCTCTGGAGAGATATTTCATAGGAAACTCTGGGTCCTTCTGAGAATAGCTCAGGAAGGAGCTGTTGTGAAGCCCCAGCTTTCTTTTTTCTTTTTTTTTTTTTT